CGTCCAAACTGAAAGACGAGCTTCATTTGAAGTCGTGGAATAAACCGCAACAATTTGGTTCGCGACGAGTCACGATGAAACAGTACGCATACAGTACGCAAGTGGTTTTTTCTGCCGTACACCTGCCTTTTCGTAAATAATTTAAAGACGAATGTAGAAAGTTCGGTTACTCCAACACCAGTCAAAGAAAGACAAATACGGTTTAAGCAACTTCAATATGGAGAAGTTTTAACTTCCGAAGAGGTGTTAGAACGACTGCGTCAAGAAGGAGGGAGAAAAAAAGTAAAGTTACAAAACGAAAAACAGGCAAAGAAAATAAAACTCCTCAAACTAGAACAAAGAAAAAGGTTCTAAAGAAAAATATTTCGGAAAGCGAATCTAATACCAATGAAGATTTAGAAAACAAATGCAAGAGAATATGAGACAGAGCGATAGCAATATAAGCTTGAATTATGATACCGACGATGATACGCCTGGAAATTTTTTAGATGTTAGATCAGCGCAGAAAAATACGATTGAATTAAGGCGAGAAAAAGCGCAGCGAGAAGAACAGATGGCAACAGATAAGCCATCCACTAGTAATTTTTCTCAACTATCACGCTGCAATGATAGTTGCCAAGATTTACTAAATCGTTATTAACCACTTCGAAAACATGGTACGTTGGTCTGATATCGGAAATTGTTTCCGATAAAGAAGTGAAAATGACATTTTTAGATCGACTAGGAAGTACCTTCATATGGCCAATGCATCTGAAGATTGAGAATGTAGCGGTACCTGAATGTAGAATACCCTTCTATTAAAGACATTGAACAAGCCCGGAAAGAGTCGAAGATTTCTCGCAAATAGTGGTTTTTATTTAATTTGTTCGTTTTAAATTTAGTTAATCACTTAGTGGACAATGTACCGTTTAATTTCTGAATAAACTAGTAAGAGAAATTATCGGTTTTATTATTTTTTTATATGCATTAAATAATGATAAGCTTTTGTCTTCATTTACCCATTTTATTTTATAGGTGAGTTAAATTGGGAAAAAATTGCAGTTTTCATTTACCTTGTACATTTGAGCAAATGAGGACATTTGACTTAAGATTTAAAAAAAAATTATAGGGTACTTGCTTTACACAAATATATGTTGAAAGTCATAATTTTCTGAAGGATTATCTCTCCTCGATGACATAAAAATATACGAAAAATTTAATCACACTAATTGTTCCCAAAATATCATAATATATTTAAAATTGAGATAAGTGTCCCCCTCATTACCCCTACTAACCTTATACCCAAGTGGTAGATACATAAGAATCGTTCAGTTTTTTCTATCGACGAGTTGCTAGTCTAAGAGTCGGTTAACTCAAACGAAATCGCTTATATCAAAAAATTACTCGAAGCGATCACTAGAAGTTACTATATAAAAGCTTAAGGCTGTTTTCGCAGTTAAAGCATACTGCGATTTGAAGTGGGCGTATCACTTACTTTTCTACACTGCTTATGTCAGACCCTACGTGACTTCCTAATTTGAAATCTGCAGTTTCGATGTTTATTCAGTGGCGCCGGCCCACGGGTTGTTTATTGACAATAAATGCATTATTCTCCATTCAAATTAGTTTTGTCGGAATACTTTTTTTAGATTGATTATCGTAGATAATGTTTTAAAAAGAATTAATCACATTTTTAATTTATATGTCTTAGCTAAACATAGTATTGAATAAAAATTTGTGAAACGTAACTGCAAAAAACACCATGGTGTTTATTTATAATAAATTTAAAATAACATAAGAATATTATTATCAAAAAAAAATTACAATTTAATGTCACAAACAAATAAACAATTTCGCAGTTATAGCTTGAAAATTATTTCAAGAAGTTATTTATTTGTTAGAGAAAACTGATATTAGCGTAGTAAAAATTAAACAAAAAATATTTTTATTTATCTATAAAAAATTGGTACCTGCGAAACCATCATAATAGTAAATGTATTTATCTGGCAAGTATTTCGAGGCGATGCACTGTGAGGAAAAAGTTCTCTGAATGGAATATACATTATTTTAATATATTTATAGATTGCAGTTACATAAGAAAAGTATCCAATTTATGAATAAAACACAAATCGTGGATAGTTATTTCATCATCATCAGTGGCATTACAGCTCGTCATGAGCCAAGCCTTCTTCAGAACAATCTTCCATTCGCCCCTGTCTTTGGCACCTCTTCCCCAAGCTCTAACTCCGATGGATTTTAGATCATCCTCTATGATATCTTGATACCTAAGTTTTGGTCTTCCTCTGGATCGTCTTCCCACTGGTCCTCTTCGGTCGAAAATTTTTCTGATCGCTTCATCTTCATCTCGCCTAATTACATGTCCTATCCATTAAAGGCGTACTAATTTAATAAATTTTACAACGTCAGGTACTACACTTGAAGAAGCATCGTAGTTTACTTTATACGATCTTTTTGACTAAGCACCATCAGCTATAACGGTTATTAACCCATTTCCGTCGGAATCTACTTCACCAATTTCTTTGGCTAAAGCTAATTCCTCCCGTCCAGCCTCTTCTATGGAATCACAAAGTGTTTGGCCGATGATATCTGCAACTGTCTCCGTATGTTTTGCATACTGCCTGTAGAACATCACATGTATATTTAAGGCAGCGTGCTGCTGCTGTATGTCTGAATAACCAGAACCATTCAAGTTCAGTGAATTGTTACCAGAAACCTATGTTGCTATCTCCTTTTCAATATTGCACATTTGACATTTAAAAGTCAATGTAGTTATCAATCCGCCCATTTTTTCTTTGATAATCTCCATATTAGAAAAGTTGCATGAAAATGGAGAATGATTATTTAAACCATGAATAGATTTAATGAAAAAGTTTATGTCCACTATTCTTCTGCCTTCTACCGAAAAAGATGGTTTTTGCGGAGAGGCAATCTCAACTGACTGAAAATGACAGCTATTACTAGAAATAACGATAAAATTTAAAGTATTTTCTGCAAATTATATTATTTGTTATTATTATTATTATTATTTACGAGTAAAACATTGGTAATATTTTGACCATAAACAAATAATATGTAAGGTCATGAACCCTCTATTTACTTACTTTACGGTAAAAAAATAAAAAAAAGTAAAAAGGGTTACTTACAAATCTAATGTAATGATGAATGAACTATTTGATGAAGAACTTTTGTTTATAGTGGCTTTTTTGATTTTTAAGTTCCTAAAAATATGAGAAAGAAACAAAATTATTCTAGGAAAAAGATACGAACTTGCTGAAGATAAACTATTATAATATTTTTAAAATAAAACAAACAACGGGTATTTGTGAAGAACGTAATCAACGCTATATAATATATATATATATATATATATATATATATATATATATATATATATATATATATATATATATATATATATATATATAAGTTAAATAAAAATTTTTAAAAAAGGTTGTAAATATATAAATAATAAATACTTACTGTAGTGCAATTGCTCTCCTTTTCCTTGACCTAGGACGTTTACTGGGACTCATTTTTTATCTTGTCTCTTATAACTTATAATTCCGTGGATAGGTAAATATACCCGTAAACTAAATAATTTCAATGTTTTCAAAATAAATAAGAATACTGTAAACTGTAAAAACTAAGCAAGTTGATAAAGAAAATACAAGAATGAAAGAACTAAAATGGATTCTGATTCAAGCGAACTAACTGACCCTACCGTACGTTCATGAGATTTGACGTCACTAATGCGATAACGATCCAGCTAAGCGACAAGGATGAGGAACACGTTTTACTATTATATTTCAGTATTTTTTAGCAATTATCTTCAAAGTTTGAATACGCTTTTCTCGATTATTACTGGACACAGAAAGGTGAAAAAAGAATCAACGATTACAGAAAAAAAAACTCTTTCAACTGATGGGTGTGAAAAGTTTGGTTATAATAGAACGTTAAACAGTATAATCCAATTTTTCAACAGAAAATTCAAAAAAATAAAAAAAGTAAAACCATCATTTTAAAGGCAACATAGTTTTGAATAACATGTCCAAATTTCGAGACATTTTGTCGGTAAATAACAGAGAAATAATTTTAGTGTAAAAACAGCCTTAATTCACTTTACTATTTTTGTTGGGAATAAGCCACCATATTGTATTTTGTTGTGTTGTCTTTTGAGAATTATTTTCACAGTGGAAATTAAAACTTCAAACAAACTTGATTTTAAAGTAAAATTGTGGCTTATTTCTATCAAAAATAGTTAATTACATTCAGATGTCACAAGAAAATAGCTTCAGAACAGTAGCACTAGAACAACTTGAAAACTCTGGAGGATTATAGCATTGACACGACATGTAGGTCTTAATGAATCCAGTTAAGATCCTACAGGCGAACATGTGCAAGGCAAGGACAATCCTGCAATCTAGTGTCCAGAGGTAGAAACGAGATAAAATAATGGAATACAACTTATGGTGACATGGACCGGAGTGACTTACACAAGACTCATATAACTGGCTAAATCCCCAAGTTACTTCTAATGAACCGAGTGAAACGAGGAAGAATATAAAGATTTTTACTAATAAGCTTGATTAAATAGAGAATAGGTATTTTCATTTGGGCGCTTTTCTAATATTTTACGATTAAAAAGAGCCACTGTATCTATATGTGTTCAGATTCATCCGCATGTGTAAAAATAAGCAACGGACTTCCGAACCACTTTCTGTGGAAGCATTCTGCATTTAACCGTATTCTAAAACTGCAAATTACAGTCATTTTCTATCGAAATTAAGCGTTTGAACCAGAAAAGTCCTCTGGAGAAAACTAGCAAACTCATAAATTTATCTTCTTTTCTTGATGATTAGGGCATCGTGAGAGTATGTGGGGGTTTAAAGCAATCCGAGTTTTCGTATGACAAAAAACATCCTATCATTTTAGCCTCATATTACCACAAATGTAGTTCTTGATTTGATTTAATATTTATATCGAAAGTTTTATTGTTTAAGGTTATGTATAAGAGATCAATTAAAATTGGCTTCAACCAATAAATCGTCCCATTCAAGTATGCAGACAGTGTATAAACGAAATAAATCTCCTTTTAATATGTTTGAATTTCAAAGAGGAAGAGCTAGAAAATCTGAAAATTTTATTAAACCAACCAATTCTTGGGATCAGTCAAGGTAAACAAACTAGTATTTAAACTCCTTGACAAAATTATCGCACCACTAGGTTTAAGGCATTATATTTAATATGTATGTATTTTAACACGGATCAAAAATAAACATACTTTTAACTATATACTATTGGAAATCAAAAATCAGATTGTATTCAATGAAACAAAATTAAAGTAATGGGTTTTTTGTTACGGAGTCACTTCTTGAAGTATTATCTTTGATACACTGCAAGATTACAGTAGTCCCAGCCACTACAATATATTTTAAATATCGAGTGTTGCCACTTCCAGATAAAATAACAGCTTCATTGTAATATTAAATTTTGAAAGGTTTGCTGTGGTATATTTTTCCACTCCTCACGAGCAGCTTGCTCCAATTTATCTGAATTTCTTGAAGAAGGACTTTACTGCCGGATGCATTTATTTTGCATGTCCTAGGCATGTTCTATTGAATTAATGTCGGAAATTCGCGAGGGCCAGTCTAAAGTTGTAATTCTCACTTCATAAAGGTATGGAATAACATCAGTAGCCACTTGAGGCTGAGCATTATTATGCATTAGCAAAAAATCCGGTTCTATGAATGGTGTATCCAGTTTTGCTTATCTTATTAAAGCTATAAAAACACTATAGTCTGGCAAATATTAAATAAAACTATAATTCACAAATCACGCGTCGTAAGTGGTCAAAAGAAGCCGAAATCATGTGTCTATCACGCATTCTCGGAAATTTTGAATTCGATCATTGGCGGCGCGTAAGAAAATATGTTTCCTCACTGGTTACTTTAGTCGACTATATACCTAATGATGTAAAATACTCAAATTAGTATATGCTTTTATTTCAGAACGATATTCAATTATTTAGTCTGTCAATAGAAAGAGTGTTAGCAACCACAGATGCTTGTTTGGTTTTTATGTACATACCATGATCATCATTTTGGCTTTACAACCCTGTGTGGGTCCTAGCCTCCCCAAGAATTCTCTTCCAGTCGTCCCTATCCATCGCCTTCCTCCGCCAAGCACGGATTTCCATATTTCTCATATCTTGGTCTATGTTATCTAGGAATCTTGTTCTGGGTCTTCTTCTTTGGCCAATAGGTCTATCAAGGAGCGTTTTTCTAGCTGGGTCTGTTTGCTCCATCCGCATTACATGGCCTACCCACCTCAGACGTCCTATCTTAATGTGTTTTACGATATCTGGTTCCTGGTATATTCTATAGAGTTCGAAGTTATATCGTCTTCTCCAGGCACCATTTTCAGATAACGCTCTATAGATTCGCCTTAGTATTTTTCTTTCGAAACATCCTAACATGTTTTCATTGCTTTTTGTTAAAGTCCAGGTTTCTGAACCATATGTTAGGACTGGGCGTATTATTGTTTTGTAGAGTTTTACTTTTGTATTTCTTGATATAACTGTAGATTTAAAAAGGAGAAAGCCCAAAATAGCATCTATTAGCCGTGCAAATTCTGTGGTGTCATTTTCAGTATTGACGAGCGTTCCCAGGTATACAAATTCGTTAACTGCTTCGATGACGTCGTTTTCTATAACAAGTGGCCGTAGTATTTGTGGTTGCATACCTATTTTCATGTTATTCGTTTTATTAATGCTTATTATTAAACCCATTTTTGTAGCCGCTTCCTTAAGTACTACATACGCCTCTCGTGCTGCTTTTTCCGTTTTCCCAACAATATTGATATCAGCATATGCTAGGATTTGTACAGATTTGTTATATATTAAACCGGTAGTTGTTATTTGTGACGTACGTATTACTTTTTCCAGAGCTAGATTGAATAGTATACAGGAGAGTGGGTCTCCCTGACTTAGCCCGTTATTTGTATTAAAAGTATCAGAGAGTTCCCCCTGGATTCGTACTCTGCATTCAACTTTTTCAAGGGTTAGTTTGGTTAGACTTATCAACTGATTTGGTACTCCTAGGTCTATCATTGCTCTAAACAATTCTCTTCTATTTACAGAGTCGCAGGCTGCCTTGTAGTCTATAAATATGTGGTGCGTGTCTACTCCATATTCCAGTGTTTTCTCTAGAATTTGTCTCAGGGTTGAAATGTGATGAATTGTTGATTTACCACCTCTGAAACCAGCCTGGTATTGTCCTATTATTCGCTCTGCATATGGTGCCATACGATGGCATAGTATATTCTAGAATATTTTATACGCTGCATTTAGGAGCGTAATTCCTCGATAGTTAAAGCATTCAAAGATATCTCCCTTTTTGTGTATAGTGCAAAGTATTCCAATATTCCAATCACTGAAAAGGGACTTCTGTATCCATATTTCTTTTATAAGTTGCTGTAGCGCTATTATGATATCGTGGCCACCTTCTTTATATAATTCCTCTGGGAGACTATCTATTCCGGGTAATTTTTTTCTGGCTAGTTTGTTTACAGCATCTTTAACTTCCAGGATCGTTGGTGGATTCTCCTTCCTCTACTGATACGCTTTTTGGTAAAACTTATAAGGACATTTCATTATTTCTTTGCTGGAGTATAGCAAAGAAATACACTGACCGACAAAAAGTTACCACCCTATAAATTTCCGAAAATAAAAATTCATTAGAAGTTTTATATACTGTTTCATATTGTATTCTCAACATCTTTGTATATATAATACAAAAAATGGTCATTTCTGCTTGATTCTTTAGCATAATTTATTTAATTAGAAGGCTACAAAAGAAAATAGTGTACTATCCAAATGAGTTACAATCAATAAAAATTACAAGTGAAATTAAACAAAATTGTCTAATATCGGGTATTATGCCCTAAAATATCAATAACCGTTTGCATACGATTTGGAAGAAAAAGGAACAATTTTTGAATAAAAACTTAAGGAATACGTTCATATTCTTCACGAAGCATGTTTTAAAGTTCTGCAAGACTTTCTGGCTGGACTGGTTGACTTATAATCCTACGATAAAGTTCATTCCAAAGATGATCGATGATATTCAGATCGGGGCTGCAGTCTGGCCGTTCTAGAGTCTTAACTCCAACTTTCACCAAGTAATATGTCAGGATTCTTGCAGTATGCGGCCGTGCATTGTCATGCATAAAGACGAAATTGTCCCCAATAAAAGAACCACATGAAACCACTGCTTCTGTCAAAACATCCATTATATACCAATGAGCATTCAGGGGCCATTGATGAAAATAAGTTCAGTTCGAGCTTCAAGTAAGAGTCCAGCCCAAAACATGACACCACCACCGCCAAACTTTCTTCTCTGGGACATATAAGCTTGGGCGTATCTTTTATTTTTCCTCTTAAAAATTCTTTCTGGGCCATCGCCAGACTTTAAACAGAACCACGATTCATCAGTAAACAGAATTCAGCTCCAATCCTGTATATCCGTTAATGTTGTCGAGAAAAAATTAATCGATTGGGTTGTAATTCGAAAACGATAGCCTGCCTTCTTGCCACCAGTCCTCTTTCAGTAAGGCGTCTTCTAACCGTTCTTTCACTTACATTCTTATATTGAACCTCCTGCAGACAGTTTCTTCGGCATTTGCAGTGGAATGGCGATTTCTTAAAAGTTCCATCACAATAAAACGATCATCTCTTTGCGAGGTAATTCTTTTACTACCGGAACCATAAATGTCGAAACTGTTCAAAACAAGCATACAAGATCGCAAAAACTTTTTAATTTGAGTTGCAATATGAAACAATGCATAAAACTTCTAATGAATTTTTATTTTCGGAAATATATAGGGTGGCCACTTTTTTTTGCCGCTCAGTGAAATTAAATGAGTCATAAGCGTGTATCATAATTTTTTTTACAAACATTTCTTCATCGATATTCTCTTTTCTTTCCCCAATCGTCGATATCGCGAAGTTAAACTAGTTTAGGTTTCGTTTTTCCAAGCAATAGATTTAAAAAACGGAAGAGCTTCATTTAATAGTTTTGGTCTTACTAATCGTGAATCGCGTTTCTTGAAGTTTCTTTAATCATTTCAGAAGTTGCGTTGAATCTTTGATTGTTCTGTCTAGAAGTGCCATCCATTTTTCTCATGATTGCCTCGTCTGCTGACTGGAAATCGAATGTTTTTGATCTTCTCTATTGCTAAGAACTTCTTCAATCGTTCTTAAAGCCCCTTTGGAACCATAATAATCATTATCTCGTAAGTCAAGCAACTCGCCTAATTGCTTTACAGCAAGATTTTTGAGCAGCCTTGTTAATCATACACGCAAATTTTAGAAATTGACTTTTCAAAGTCTGAAAAAATTTGTAATGACAACCGACCACCTAACGCATTAAACGATTGCCAGTAAATGTTTCATAATTTCTAATACACTTTAAATCCTATGTCTTTTTAATTAAAGTTTCTTCCAGAATTCATTTTTAGTTTATAAATTATTTAAACGAATAATCCCACTTCCAAAAATCACTGTAAACGTGATTTAAAATGAACGGTTCAATTTATATTCACAACTTTGATTTACTTTAACAATTGAGGCCATCCCCAGAAAAAGGGCCCATAATCGTATGGGCCGTTTTTCCGCAGATCGTTTAAATCGATCCGCCATGATGTAAAGCTTATTTCGGCCAAGTTTGGCAACAATGTCTCAAACTTGTGTCATTCGATAAACAAAACATTTAACATTTAACTACCATTTTAACAAAGTTGTGTTCGCGTCCATTGTTCGTTTGCTTGTCGTTAACGTAAGTGTGTTTATTGAACTTTAAAAATGGATTCTGACGAAGAGGTAGTTAGACAAAAACTGACAAGATGTAAGAAGATTAATGTGACGCGAGAAAAAAGAAAGTTAAAAGGCAATCAGGCGAAATATACGTCACCTCGGCAGGTCGCGATGTTGAAGCTAAGTCATTTCAGTTAATCATAAAACGCTACCTGGACAAATGTTTTACCCGTTTAAGTGTCGATGATCAAAAACATTTATTTCAACACTTTTATTTACAAGCAAAGCCTCAACAGAACTCTTTGTTGGCTCTGTGTATGAAAAAACTTAATGTGGAACGTAAACGGCTCAAGAATATTCCAAAAGTTTTACGAGCGTATACACGGGAATATTTCGTGTCTCAAAAGAGTGACAGAATAAAAACATGTCGAACCATGATCCACAAACTTTTTCAAGTATCTGTGAAGCGCATTCGTGTAGTACAAAAGAAGGTAATTGAGGGGGATTCATTTACAGAAAACGAGGGACAGATGCCATTAAACACCACAAATTGGCTCCCAACATTTATGACTTGCTTAAAGAGCATTTGGAAACTATTCTGTTTAAGAAAAGTCATTATTCCCAACACAAATCGGAACTAAAGTATTTTGAGAATCCCGAATTAAATATTAAAAAGTCGTATGAGCTTTTTGTACAATACTATAAAGAAAAGACATGCACAAATCTAAAGATGAAATACAAGACACACTTTCAGTATTTTAAGTCACTTTAAGATAGAAAGAAGTAAAGCTGACAGTAGTTGCCTTGTTATTGAATTTGACTATGGACAAAATCTACCCGTTCCGAAACTCAATGTAAAAGTACAGTTTTATAAACGTCAACTTTGGTGCTATCTCTTTATACATATTCACAATGATGGGTCGTCTTTTATGTATACATTAATGGAAGGACAAGGAAAAAAAGGCGCTGATTCTGTTATTTCATTCGTCTATGACTGCTTGTGCAAAAAAATTAATGGCGATGTCACTGAAATCGTATTTTTGTCGAATGCGTGCGGAGGACAAAATAAGAACATTTCAATTGTAAAATTTGCAATGTGGCTAGCACACAATTTTAAATTCAATATTTGACATATATTTCCGGTTCGTGGCCATTCCTTTAACCAGTGCGATCGCAATTTTGGGATGGTAAAGTCATCTTTAAAAAAGAAGGAATTCATAGAGACGGCAAAGCCATATTTGGAAGCAATAGTGCATTGTCGGAAAAATCCATATCCTTTTAATGTTGTCATGGACAGAACGCTAATAAAAAATTAGACTGAAAGTTTGGAAGACTCTTTCTAAATAAGCCAAAAACAAAGGGACTTGTTTTCATCATTCAACAGTATGTACAAATGAAATACAAAAAAGACAGAACGTAGGCTTGTTCTGAAACATACATAGAACATTACATACCATTCATAATTTGGAAAGAAAGAATCATAAACACAAACATTGCTCTTCAAACTGTCCTAGTGGTTGGAATAAAGCCGGCGAAGGACAAAGACGTGAGAAATCTATTTTCGTTTTTGTCCCAAGAAGATGAACTATGGATATGCTGGATACTAGAAGAAGTTCCTGTATAACTTTCTTTGTATAATAACTCGTTTTAATGTTTATTTTTTACGTCATTTGCCAAATAAAGATTTTCTTAAACTTATTTCATACTTTCGCAAATGATCTGTGGAAAAAGGGCCCATGACAAGCTAATTGTAAGAAAATTATATTTACATAAAAATGTGTCTATATCTTTGAAACAGATTATTCTAACTTTAGTTTAAATACAATACTTTTATTTTAGCTTTCAATAAAGCTCAAAGTTTTAATCTTTGTTTTCAAAATACTTGTTAAATTTTCAATTGCGTTTTTCTCGTCATAGCGCCATTTGGCATATGGGCCCTTTTTCCGGGGATGGCCTCAATTGTTTCTTAAATCTAAATATACACTGAAAACTAAATAACAAAAATCAGCTTCATGTAACAGCAGTGAAATATTCTAGAAATCATTTTATTGATATTACGGGTCTGGCTAACTCAATAACTGCTTTATTTCCTAATAAGTTTAACGTTATGTATAAAAATGACAATAATGCTTACTACGGTCACTACTTTTTAGAAATTTTACCTTCAATATATTTTTCCTCTTGCAGAAAGATGAGAAGTGTAGCCACATGCATTAGAAGCAGAGACAGTTCCACATCTAGCACGAAATACGGAGATGCAGAATATTTGAATCTATGTGATACGAGCATACCTTTTAAACGCCATAGTCCATCTCCACAAAGAAATCAAGTGCATTGTCAATCTAGGTCAAGTAGTCACGAATCGAGAGCAAGTTCAAAAGGTAGTTTAAGAAATTCAGCCAAATCGCAAAGGAAAAATTTGGATTATAAGAAGTTAGAAGAAAAAATTGCTGATTTACAAAGATTGTTAAAGAATAGCGGTATCTGTGATAAGGAATCCTAGTGTTACTCTGTAGTTCTTTTATAGTATACGAAAACTATTTTTTATCGTAATATATTTTGCTATATCTTAATAAAAATTTTATGACTAAAATATATTCGCTAACTTGATACCAGAAGGCAACCGTAAATACGTAAGGTAAAGTGCCCAAATACCGCCCCCCTAAGCAAAATCTTAAATTCTGAAATTTGATTTAGAGTTAAAATAATGGAAAAAACTGATTTAAGTAACTTTACTCTATGGCTAAGAGTTTTGCTAGTACGATTCTACTAAATAAAATTTCTTGAAATCGTAGGCTTCCACGGCTAGAGTCAGAATTATAGTTTATTCGTCTTCCGGGTTTGAAACGTGTCATTTGTGAGTGACCCAAAAGTGGGTTCATCTCGACGTTTCGCTACAATTCTATGTAGCTTCTTCAGGAGAACAAATAAAAAGAAAAAGAAGACAGGAAGATGGGTAGTTAGCAACGGTAACTCAGTTACTCAACGCAACCAGAGGCGAATACTAACTACCAAGATGGGCATTTGGTCACAGTAACTCAACTACTCAACGCAGCCAGTTTTCACCTCTGGCTGCGTTGAGTAGTTGATTTACTGTTGCTAACTACCCATCTTCCTGTCTTCTTTTTCTTTTTCTTTTTATTTGTTCTCCTGAAGAAGCTACATACAATTGTAGCGAAACGTCGAGATGAACCCACTTTTGGGTCACTCACAAATGACACGGTCCAAACCCGGAAGACGAATAAACTAAAATTTCTTGAAGTAAAAATAAATAAATAACAAAATAAAGCAAATTTCGGATCTTTAAAAACGGTATCCCAATTCCGTCCCCCATCCATTCTTAGATAAAATGTATGATTTTTTTTTTGTAAAGCATTATTTAAACAGTACTAATATCTGATATAATAACTTTATTGAGATAGGAACATGTTTATACATTGTGATACGTAAGTTCTATCTATTTACACCTTCAGACACAAATCACAAACAAAATTTTTGACCTTGGTTAAGTTGAACACATCTCATGGCACCACTTGAAGCATTCCGAACACCTTATCCGTTTTTCTCGTGGCTTGTCTTGTCTTGGAAAAACGTTTTTCACAAATGGCACATGGTGCATCTTCATCACCAGAACTATCCTTATCATCGGTTGATACTAGTGGAAATTCTGTTTCGGCCTCAGAGGCACTTGAATTTAAATCCCACTTCGTTGTTTTCTTCTTGTGACGTTTGTTCAATGATGTGCCAGGATTTTCTTTATCTTCCATGGTCAGACGTTTCTTAGCCTTTAACTGCCTCTTCTCTTCTGCTATTTGTTTTTTTTTGTAAAGAGATTTTGAAAGAAGTTTTGTGAGGAGATCCAGTTACCAAGAATGAAGTACCGGCTCTAGAAGATGTGGAAGGTTCGATAACTGGAACATTCTGGATGTCTCGTGGACTGACCACTTGAGGTGGGACTAGAACATTCTGGTTGTCATTATCCCGTCCATTGTCAGGCACCTCTTGCTGTTCAAGTTGTCTAGCAATAAAATCATGGTCCTGAAAGACATCAGAATTAAATGGATGGATCCCAGTCTTCCTAAACCCATTGGCGGCTGTTTCAAGAGTAGCTGCACGAAGATACTCCTCACAAAGGAGACTGGATATTTGCAGTTTCCTGACAATTCTATTTGGTTACTAGCCAACCATTGTTCTATAGCTTTTGCGTACCTAGTTTTCAAAGGAAACATAAACGATACATCCAAAGGTTGTAGCTTGTCTGTTGAGTGTGGATTAAGGCAAATTATAGATACTCCTGACTCTCTTGCAATGTCAATAAGTTCGAGATTTCTAGTGTGGGAATAGTGACCATTAAGGATAAGCACAACAGGATTCTCTTTTAATGGCTTCACAATGGAACTGAAGTGTTTAAACCACTTTCATTCGCCTATCGACAAAGTAAAAACCCACCAATTTTTATAAGATAATCTATTGAATTGTAATAAATTAGTAAATAACCAAAATACTACTTTTGATACAGTATGCAGGGACAGACTGTGGATAGCGATGCAGGAACTTGGCTTTCCAAAAAAACTAGTCAGGTTGATACGGATGTGTATGGAACGGTTACGATGTAAGGTGAGAGTTGTACAACAATACTCAGAGACATTTGAAATAAACAATGGACTAAAACAGAGATGCACTTTCATCACAACTCTTCAACTTAGCTCTGGAGCACATAATCAGAAGTGCAAGAATCGAAAAACCTAATACAGTATTTCATCGAGAAGGACCAAACTTACTACTGGCATTTGCAGACGATATCGATCTAATAGGAAACACACGATTAAGGATGAAGGAGGCTTTCGTGAGGTTCGAGAAGGAAGCAGAGAAGATGGGGCTCCAAATCAACGAAAACAATACGAAATATATGTATATGAGCCGCAATAACCAAAGCAGAGACAGAATCGGTCAGAACATCACCATCGATGACTTTGAGCGCGTTAGAGAATTCAAGTATCTTGGAACAACAATAACTGAAGACAATAACGGATCACAAGAAATAAACAACAGGATTCAGGCCGACAACAGATGTCTTTTTGCCCTCCAAAACCTTATAAAATCAAAACAGCTAACACGACGTACGAAGATACAGGTCTATAAAACAATCATACGACCCGTTGTGATGTATGGAAGCGAAACGTGGACAATAACAAAGGCAAACGAACAGAGACTATGTGTTTGGGAAAGAAAAATCCTAAGGAAGATCTTTGGTCCTATGCTGGATGAAGCATCAGGACAATATAGAATAAGAACTAACAAAGAGCTCGAAGAACTTTACCCAGACGCCAACATCATAAAAGAAATAAAGTCCAGAAGACTCCAATGAGCAGGACACCTCAGAAGATATTCTGACGAACGAACAGTAAGACTGGTGTGGGAGGAAGTCCCAACTGGAAGGAGACCACGCGGACGCCCTCGTCTCCGGTGGCGTGATAATGTAGCAGGAGACCTAAACACTATGGGGGGCGTGGAGAATTGGATGGAGGTTGCTCAAGACAGAAAACAGTGGAGGCATGTTGTCGAGTCGGCTAAAACCCACGAAGGGTTGTAACGCCACAGAGTAGTAGTAAAATACTACTTAATGCCGGTACAAGAATTATTAGTGAATAATTCGGATAACATAGTTCAAACTATCCTGTATTGCTGGTGATGGGTGATCTTCGGTTTTATTGAAACTGATAATTAGCAGGAAAGTTCTTGAGGGGAAAGATGTTCACAAATTAAATATGAATAAGGTATTATGTAATTGTGTGTTAAATGAAATTGATGTTTTATATTATTTAAATTATTATAAGTTATTTACATTTATTCCATAGATATATTTTAGAATTGTGTGTTAATTTATTGAAATTTTTATTAAAAGGATAGTTATATAACAATGAATGAAGTTAGATCATCGAGCAAAAAGATAAAAGAGGGAATCTAATCGTTATAAAAAGGAGACCAAAAAAGTGGCCTCTGTTTGTTTGTTTGTGTTTAAATGACTGCGGACACAAAGTGGCCTCTGATGGCGGACATATCCGGAAATGCGAAGGCGCTAAATTTAAATTTTCCAACACTTGTTAACAATAGATGTAAAATATTTTTCAGACAAGAAAGTTTTAATTAAATATTAACGATAATAGTCTAAAAAGTGACACAATTGGTAAAAAACTTCAATATAAATAAAATTTCATGTGACAGTTGGGACAAACAATAACATAACCAAACTAAATTTGACTTCTTAAACAAGGAAAGAGACTGTCTTTCCTTGTTTAAAGTGGCCTCTCAAGATAGCACTTCCTGTCTAACAATAGTTTTGTCCCCACTACCTTTACATTCCCTCTTTTATCTTTTTGCTCGATGAGTTAGATGTACAATTTTGTGGGTGTGCAATTTCTTTAACTTGTAATTATCAAATTTTGATAAAGTGAATTTGATTTCTATTTTAGTAGAAAATTGTGATGTCAGATATGTTAAAATTATTAAAATTAAAACAATTAAGGACACTTAGGGACAAACAGAACACAATTAAAAAGACAAAACATACATTAAATGTAAAAGGGGGTACTTATTGGTACTATATCACTTAGTATTAGGAAAGGAACTGGTAAAAACTTAGTTTTTCGTTGTCTACTAGACTTTTAAACTTTGAAATGAGATTCAACACATTTAAAAATCTTAATAAATTGTATTATATTACCTTTTATACTTTGAAACTTCGTTGTTTTTCTATCACCACCTCTAGTTTCAGTATGCATTTCTCTGTTACGATGATAAGGATGAAGGACTTCCCTTATTCGGCCTTTCTTTATCAAAAGTATTTTTATATTTATACGGGTATAATTTATGCTTCGCAAGTTCTAACAAAATATGTAAATGATAATAATCGTTCATTACCGTGTCCATTCATAATACGTTTTCGTTGCATGGGAATTGCCTTGAAATATTTAACAATAAAACTGTCTTGATAAATTTTGGTTTTTTGTGCATAAAAAGCATCATGGAATTGTTTTATATGACATCGTAAGCTTGACAAGAGTATGTGTTAGAATTATGTTTAGAAGTTATCTGTTCTGGTAATGATAAGGCAGAGTATATGTAAGAAAAAATTTATAATAATATTTGAAACCAGAGAGATACCATTATTAAATCATAAGGTTTGTTCCAACCCGTCACATGACCGTTCTTGATTGGTTACGAGTATAAGCAGTAACACATTTTTCGTTACTGAGCTTACTCGTAACCATTCAAGAACGGTATTTGTGACGGATTGGAACAAACCTATTGTAGATATTATTTTAAACGGGATTTTTTTTTTGTATATTTTATCTCAACTCATCAAACAAAACATAAAAACAAATATCTGTTTACATTGATTTAGTATATCCCTAAATTGGTCCAATGTTTCAATGCAAGAAGTTTTGCGTGTAAAATAATTTTGAGTACAGCCCTGCTGTTTAGTATACAGTTGTAAGATGGAAAGTTTCTTACCTTTGTCTTTGCAATTTTAC